CGTGCCAAAAGCTGCATGTCCGTGCAGAACTGCTCGATTCTTGACAGTATTTACTGCCCTCTTTTTCACCCTTCCGTATGTCCGTGCCAAATTTGGCACGTCCATGCAAGCCTGTTTCCAGGCTCTCTTCTCGTTTTCTCCGTCATTTTTGTTTAGAGGGTAATATATATACCCCCTTAGCTCCCCTTGTACGGATATTCAAATTTTTAGAGCTTTTCTCTTAGTTTGTAATCTTAGAACATTAAAACTCTCAAATCATTAGTTAGATTTTAATTATTAGCTCGGAAAACTCAATTTCAATCATTGTAGAAGACAAGATTCCACCATTGTTGTTAAAGTTTGAAGCTTCTTGTAACATTCTCTTTCCTTACTCTTCTATTTTCCCTCATCTTAGTTGTTAATTACTTGCTTAATTCTTGTATGCTTAGATTGTTAATTAGCTTTGTTCTTAGTTTGAATCTATTCATGAGTTGCTTGAAATCTTTAATTGCTTTAACTTCCATGGATTGTGAGTAGTCTAATTTTCTAGGGTTTGGGTAAAACCCTCAATGTAGTCACTAATAACTTGTTGCATGTAATAATTTGGTGATTGTGGGGTGTTAATTAGTTGAGCTTAAGTGGTTTCATTGTTAGTTCTTGCATTTGGCCAATGTTAGGACTATTTATCCAAGCTTTCTCAACGAAGGATCGAGAGATGAACCTGAGTTAGCTCCCTTATGCTTAATTAACTTGAAATGCCATGAGAATAGGAATTTCCAGTCAAGGGAATGTTTATGTCATCGTGCTTATTCTTTAACACTTGTTTTATGCTTTGTAACCACGAGAGTAGGTTGTAGTCATGATTCAAGTAATCCCTCTCGCTTGAGAGATTAGTTGGGTGTCTTAGATGACTTCCCCTATTTTATCCCCTTAATTCACCTTGCTTGTTGCATGATAATTGTGACTTGTGATGAAGTTGATCGAGTGGTATAACCCGAGCCCTAGATTCCTCTAAATATTGTTAATCTCCTCTTAACTTTAGTTGAATTGAACTAGTATAAGTTACTTAAGACCAAACCAAATATCGACTTCATTTAGCTTATTTAACGGTAATATCTCGGTAGATGATTCAACGCCTCTCTTGGGTTCGACCCTTTCTTACCCTTGCTATTAGTTAGTGAAACCAAGATAGGACTTATCTTTGGTAGGCTCGACAACGGCCTATCATCATTACATAATGGAAACAAATAGTACAATATATAAAACACTAGGTTTTGTTTGATTGACATGGGAAATGAGTTCCCTTGTCCATTTCGTAGGAATTAACTGAAGTTTGTTTGGTTGATAACATAGGAACTTTGATTTCCTAGGAATTGTTTTCTTATGTTTTATTAGTTAACTAGATAATTTTTTACTTAAGTTAACAAATTTGGAGAGAGAAAGAAAGAGAATAAATTATTAGTGATAATTATGCAAGTGGGCCCCACAATAATCATGGGAATTGTGACTTACCAAGGGAGGGTTGGTAAGTGAATTCCCATGTTTCATGGGAATTGAAACTTTCCTTGGAATTTCCATTTCCCCCACTTTGATAAATTTGTGTCGACTAAACAACACATACTATATCCATTTCCTAGGAAATAGAATTTTCCATGTTTTTTACCTCCAACCAAACAACACCTATTATCTTATACTTCCTCCGTTTTTTTTAATTGACACATTTCTCTTTTCACGCTTGCCAATGCACTATTTTAACGCTTAATATCTCTAAATCACGACATTGTAAAAATTATAAGAAGTAGATTTTTATAAAAATAAACATTGAGACGATTCAAACAAGATCCCACTTGACTATGTTTTATCATAGCTATAAATCACAAAAGTTAGTCAAAGTATAGTTAGTGAATAGTGTAAAAGTCAAATGGTGTCAACTAAAAAAAACGGAGGAAGTATAAGTTAAATAAAAATTTTGTTGCGTAGAAAAACACAATAAATAAATAATTAAAATGATAAGACTTGTAATTTAAAACTTGTTGGTCTCGAGTTTAAGTCCTTATTTAAGCGTTTTAAAAATGCTTTTTGATATTTAAGTATTGATATTGATATTGATATTGATATTGATATAGATGTAAGATACCTCCTGGCCCTCGTTAAAACTTTGTTTCTTTGTACGTATGTACTTTAGGGAAACCAGATGTCAGTGTTCATATAGTAAATGTTTATGTTCTCCCCAATTCTCTGTATCTCTATAAGAAAAACTGAAAAGTTCATACCAAGTATTTATCTTTTATAGATTATATTAATAATTATTAGATCAAATTACCTTTGAAAAAAGTTAAGAGCATGTGACTTGATAATTATTTTTACAGTTTTACTTTATAAGAAAGTCACATTTATTATTATTGTAAACAGTCCATAACAAATTTTACTCCCTTTAAATGAGTATAGTAACTCTATTAACCTTATAAAACTTATATTTCATTGCTTATCTATACTATATATGAAGTATTAAAAAGCGTTTCTAATCAAGAATGTCACCCCTCTCTTCCATCAAAAGGATGCCACATCACCCAATTAGAAATATGAATGATATACGTCAATTAAAAAATGATTATGTTAAAAATTGAACTTGGGTCTTATTAGAAAATTAAATAAATAAGAAATCATACCATCTTTGTTACCTAATAATTGTGCTTATTTATTCTTATTAAATATAGTTAATGTAGACCATAAGAGTATTTTTTTGTACTTTTGCATATGCTATTTGTTAAATAATACGTACTTCAAGCTATAGATATTGACTAGAAGACAAATTTTTTTTTTTAAGACTAAATCTAAAAATAAAGTAATTAATATTACTATGAACACAAAAGGGTCAAATTCATCTATACAAAATATAATAGCGTACATGAAAATTATAATACAAGAATATTTAACGTATTGACTCGAAATATCGCTTGGGGTAAACACTAGTTTACATTAAGGGGGTGTTTGGTATAGGTTTTTTAAAGGGGTGGAAACGGAATCATGTTAGTGTTTCCGTTACATTGTGTTTGGTTAACGGACTAAAGTAACACAAACCGTTAGTAAGTGGTAACCATTTCCACCCAATTGTTTCCGCCGTAATGAGTGAGGAAACAGATTCTCTTTCCTTCCTTTAACACAAAAAATACAGAAAACTCTTCTCCCTCCTCTTCGCTCGCTCGATTTTCTACTGCAAATCTCTAGATCTTGCTAGACGATTCTACAAGGAAAGCTGCAATTCTCCAGATCTTGCTCCTAAATTTTCAATTTTCTACTGCAAATATCAGGTTTGCTATCTTCATTTCTCTCGTTCAATTTCTAGGGTCCATGCAATATCAATTTTGCCGTTTCTGGTTTGAATTATTTACTTGCTTGTTCGATTGAATTTTTTTTTTATCTTTTGTTGATTTTCTTCTGAATTTGATAGTATATAATTATATATTGCTATTATTTCTATTATTGCTATAATTGTTGATTATTGCTATACTCGCTCGACAATATACATGACTCTGATTTAGATATAATTACAATGTTGTATTTGCTAATCTGCGTGATTGGTGGAGCATTCTTTGTTGATTAACTAGATATTGATATAATTACTATGTTTTATTTGCTAATCTGCGTGATTGGTGGAACATTCTTTGTTGATTGCTGTTGTTTTGCTGTTTATCGGGTTCAAGGGTTGGAGGTGAACTTATGAGAGGTGGATGGGGTTTCTGGTGGTGAGGATCGGTGGTGTTTTTGATTGGGTAAGTGAATGTCATGGTGATGGTGGTTTTTGGGTGAGTTTTGAAGTTAAGGATGGTAGTATATTTTACCTGGAACGCCTGGAAACGTATCGGTATCAAGTGAGTAATGCGACAATGGGATGACGAATGATTTCATCCGATTTGTGCAGTATTTGGATATTCATAATAGCTGTCAATTTTTTTTGTTTTTTTATTTTTGTTTTTCGGAAAGAGTCAAATGCAGTAGTTTTTCTACTATTAAATCTCCAATTTTATTGAACTTTCATTTAAACATCATACCATCAAGCCATCTACTTGATTAATAATGTATAATTCGTATGTATGAACTAAATGATATTGGTTATGACTTTTTTTCCTTTATTATATGGGGGACAGGGGTTGGCTTGGGTAGATTAATTTATAAATTCTTAAACGAATGTCTAATTGGTATTGATTGCTGTTAACACACCAAATTATTTCTATCTAATTGATAGAGGATATTGCGTGCTTATTATATATATTCAACCTCTTATATGTTGTAATTGCGTGCTTATTATATAATAAATAAAATCATTTTCTAGTTTTCTATCGCAGACGATTACCTCATGTATGTTATTGCTCCATCCGGCCAAAAATCAGATTATGTTGATCGATGATGTATTTGTTTCTTGTATTTTAATGGTTTTTGATGGGTAATATATTGATACTATTGTATATTTTTTGGACTAGTTTTTCAAGATTTCTACAATGCCCTGACTTATGCGTTCCTCAAGGAAGAAAAAGCTAAAACAAATACAACTAGTTATTTCAATGGTTATTATTATTTTGATGATGTATTGGATGTGGCATATGATGTGTGTTGTTACAATAAAGGGTGTTCAATTGAAAGAAAGAAAAAGAAACAAAAAGTTGCTACGAATGTTAGTTTTGAGAGGGCTTTATAAAGAGAGTGATGTGAAATGCAAGAGTGAGCTTCGCGTTAATAGAAGAACTTTCAATATTATTTGTGATATGCTTAGAGACATTGGTGGTTTGAGTGGAACAAAAAACATGTCACTTCAAGAGATCGTAGCCATGTTTTTATACACGTTGGCTCACCACAAGAAGAATAGGTCTATTGGACAATAATTCTTTAGAAGTGGAGAAACCGTGAGCCGACAATTTCACCTTTGTCTAAGGGCTCTTCTCAAATTACACGAAGTATTACTTTACAATCCCACACCAATATTAAATGATTGTGAAGATGAAAGGTGGAAATTTTTCAAGGTATTGGTCTTTTTTAAACCCCTAAGTTTTTCTAGGATTTTCTTATTTTTGATTGTATGTAAGTAATATTTTTTCTTATTTTTGTAGAATTGTTTAGGGGCATTAGATGGGACTTACATTAATGTAAATGTGCCTTCACAAGAACGACCAAAATATAGAACAAGAAAAGGAACAATTGCTATGAATGTATTGGGTGTTTGTGCACCCAATTTGCAATTTATTTATGTTCTTCCTGGTTGGGAAGGTTCGGCCCATGATATGCGTGTACTTCGCAATGCTCTCTCTAGACCAAACGGTTTTAGGGTACCTCGAGGTAAGTGAAGCTCATTCTTTTGTGAGTGTATAAGTTTTGTTAGTTTTGGTAGGTAGTAATCCTTTCCTTTAATAACTTTGAAGGTAATTATTATTTGGTTGATGCGGGATATACGAATTGTGAGGGTTTTCTTGCTCCATATAGAGGTCAAAGATACCATTTAAAAGAATGGACGGATCGACAACCCAAAAGTGCCGAGGAGTTCTATAACATGAAACATGCTAGGGCGCGAAATGTGATTGAGAGATGTTTTGGCCTACTTAAAGGAAGATGGAGTATTCTTAGAAGTCCTTAATTTTTCCCTATAAGAACTCATGGACGTATCGTGATGGCTTGTTGCTTATTGCATAATCTAATTAGAAAATTCATGCCTACGGATGATATAAACGAAGATGAATTGAATGAATCCGATGATGATTCCGAAAGTGATTCCGATGATGAAAGGGAATTTATTACAAGTGTTGCTACTTCGGATCATTGGACCAATTTTAGAAACAAATTAGCCCAAGATATGTTTAATGATTGGAGGGCGAGAGGTAGACATGGTCAACAGCAAAAAATGTATGATTTTTTTTACCTTCGATTATATTATAGACATGGTCATCTGCCTTCTGTTCTTTTTATTTCTAATTTGCCTACTGTTATTTCTAATCTGCCTTATGTTATTTCTAATTTGTTTAGGATGGAGGCTAGCAATCGAGGAAGAGGTAAAAATAAAAGGTATTGGACGTATGAAGAAGATGCGGTTCTAATAAGATATTTGCATGAGTTGAGTTGCGATCCGAAGTGGAAGTGTGATAATGGGTTTAAGAATGGTTACATGAATAAGTTGGAAGAGATGATCAATGGTGTACTTCCTAATTGTGGCTTGAGAGCAGTTCCCCACATTGAGTCGAGGATCAAGCATTGGTCGGAGAAATATAGTGCATTTGCAGAAATGCTATCCACCTCGGGATTTGGATGGGATGATGAGAAGAAATTGTTGCAAGTAGACAAGGTCGTGTACGATGAATGGGTGAAGGTATGAACTGCTATTTCATTCTTTTTTGTTCATTTTTTTCAATTACACTTTAGAACTGCTGCTCTGCTGGACAGTTGTGTGTAAAGGTATGAATGGGTGAAGGTATGAACTGCTGCTGGACAGGGAGAGAAGCAGTGTGTGTAATGGAAGGGGGCAGGGAGGGGAATAGGTGATAGGGGAGAGGGGTAGGTGCTGGACAGTTTATATATGAATTATGTACTGCTACAAATGCTCATCTTGCTTTAAATCTATACCTGGTTTCTTTGTGTTGCCATGTATGAAGCATGGCTGGTCTTTTGTGCAGGTTTTTACGAGGTTAAAAATTAGATATATGTCTGTTTTAGGGGAAGTGCTGTCAAATTTTCTGCAGATTATTCATGGATTAAAAAAAAACCTGGAAGAGATTCAAGTGTCCTAAGAATGCAAGCTGGAATTGGAAGCAAGTGTGGAGAATAAGAGATATTATGAAATCTGGTTCTTGTGGTGATATATGGATTGATGATGCTAAAAGGCTACACAATAGCTAGTGGTTATAAGTGCAAAAGAAGCTTGGGCAGAATGACTTTTTATGTAATCTTCTTTGCTGGGGCTGTTTCTTGGGGTAAGGGGTGCTGGTGCTTTGTGTGTTGTATTGCAGTCTGCTTTGGACTGTGGTGATTATTGTTGATGATTGTTTCTATTATATTTTTTGTGGTTTTATTTTCTGTGATTAACAGTTGCCTGGTTCAGTTCTGATTTTCATGTTTTGACTTGTTGCATTCTCTTATATGGCAGACTCATAAGAAAGCTAAAGGGTTGTTTGGAGTTCCATTCATTCACTATGAAACTCTTGCGGAGATATACGCAAAAGACAAAGCTACCGGAGATGCAAGTGAGTCGTTTGTTGATGCTATAGAAGAAATGGGTCAAGAGATTGATAAGCAACCATTCAATGTCGAGAGTGATGAAGAAGATGATGTGAATTCTACTCATTCGGACACTTATTCTTCTACAAGTCAATCCGGAAAACGCCCCATGAAGATAGAGGATGATCATATAACTCCTTCAAAAATGGCAAAGTGAAGGCTTCTACAATTCATTCTTCCGCAAGTGATTCTACTACTCAATCCGGAAAACCCTCTATAAAGGCGAAGGAGACTAAGGTGAAAGGAAAGAACAAGGTAAATTTGAAGAGTTTGTGTAGGAATGATGATGATGATTTGGTGGCCTCCCTCCATGATTGTTCCAACAATTTTGGGAAGATATTTGAAAATATCAATGTTAATCTCGGGACTATGGCTAGTGCATGGTCTAAAGCGGAAGAAAGGGAGCAAAGAATGGATGAAAAGGTGAACAAGGTATTGGACGAGGTGATGAAGTTAGATGGCATTTCTCCATCCGAAGCTTTAGAGGTTGCTACTATTCTCATGGCGGAAGAACATAAGCTTCGCATCTTCTATCAAGCACCATTTAATATGAAAAAACAATATGCAATTGATCTTCTTAAGAAGAAGTAGCAACTTGAGCAATGTCTTTGTTTTTTTGTTGAACATATGCAACTTGAGCAATATAGGTTATTTTATTATTAGTCAATGTTTGGATAATTAATGAGTGTCAACTTTGCTATATATATATATATATATGCAATACAGGTTATTTTATTTTTTTTTAATCTTTTTTTTACCATAAAAAAATGTAGCATAGACAATATTATATTATTCATTCTTATTTTTCATTTTCGTTTGTTATACCAAACAAGAGGAAATGGAATGGTGATAATTGTTTCCGTTTCCTTTGATGTACCAAACAACTAGTAAGGGTAACACTTTTTGTTACCTTTTCCCCTCCTAGTTTATTTCCATTCCGTTTCCTATACTAACTCCATACCAAACACCCCCTAAAATCAAATCAGGCTAAAGTTACCAGTTTTTGAGGAGTTTTTCAACTGTGACAAATATGCAATAAATAGCTTCTTTTTTTTCTTTGCATTTTCTGAGTACCTTTAAAGGCTTTATTTTGAGCTATTTTTATTAAGGGGAGTCTGGGGGATGACTAGAATATTGCAAAATCTATCAAATACTTCGTATATTGTACTAAATAATTTCATGCTAATATAGTAATTATAAAGTCTCGTACATTGATACATAGTAGTATAGTATGATTGTTAGCATATAGCGTTGAAGGAGGTGATTCATTTGTTATATACTTATATACGAAGTATGAAATAAGATCACCAATGCAATAGATCTAAGTTACTCTGTACAATATATAGCAAGAAAACAATACCAAGTACATGAAGTAATACTTGGTCTATTAGTAAAGATTGAATCATACAACCTTAGTTGCTTATAATCCTTTCAATAATTCTCCCCTGTTATTTCGAAGGAGTCTTGCCCACACACTGAAGACACACCCGTGTCTGGCCGTGTTAGGTTAAATTATGTATCGTTCTATTGATCAGAACGTTTTTTCTTACCATTCTATCATGTGTACATGAGAGGAAGAAGGCAATACGATATTTTCTCAGCTTAGTCCATTGCATGGGCTCACTAATAATAATGCAGCTAAAAATGAAGGCAACTCCAAAAGCTGAAGTTGGGGACATGATTTTGGCACACCTCAATGTGACAACACAGTTTTCTATGCTCTTCTCACATAGGGGTGTGCCAAAATCAATTAAAGGTATGCCAAAATCAATTTTCCTGAAATTGAGCTTAGACTTGATGAACAATAGATGCTCCTTCGTGACCAAATATATATGTTGCAAAGAAGGGACCATCTGACTCCCTTTCACCTTGTAATTTTGTATTTCTCAATAATTCCAATTTATCATAATAAAGTCTAGGCCCTACTTTTATTCATAATCATGCCCTAGTGAATAAATATCAACTATTAGTAGGGGTGGGACTTCGGTTTGGCGGTTCGGTTTGACCTAGGTGCGAGTCGGTTTCGGTTTGGAGCGGTTCGGGTTGAAACGGTTTGATTTAGCTGACGGGTCGGTTCAATTCGGTTTGGGTTAGTCACGGGTCGGTTCGGTTTCGGTTTATTTCTTTACGGTTTAAATTCGGTTTGGGTCATAAGCGGGTCGGTTTATAAACAATTCGGTTCATGCCGGTTCAGTTTGAAACGGGTCGGTTTAGGGGGCGGGTTTACCCGGGTTGATGTCGATTCGGTTTACAAACGGTTTGGATCATGCCGGTTCGGTTTGAAACGGGTCGGTTTAGGGGCAGGTTTACCCGGGTCAATGTTGGTTCGGTTTATAAACGGTACGGATCATGCTGGTTCGGTTTGAAATGGGTCGGTTTAGGGGAGGGTTTACACAGTCCAATGTCGGTTCGGTTAATGAACGGTTCGGATCATGCCGGTTCGGTTTATAAGCGGTTTGGGTCATGAATTCATGATTGTTTTAAAGATCGCGTCATGACCATGATTTAATGAGTTGATACTTAGAATACGATAAATCGATAATTAAGGAAGTACAAGTACTCAATTAGATCGATCAACAAGTGTTTTAAACTTTTAAGTTTTAATAATCAGATATGTTTATCGATTATACGTACATACCAATGATTCAATGAGGCAATGATAGTATGATAATGATACCAACCGTACATTTGTACGATATGATATACATAATAATTAAATAATTAATACATAATTACATATACATTAACAATATCGTATTGAATCAATTTCCATTTCCAAACATTGCATTTGTTATAGATTATAAGTTACACGAGATTAAATGGATTCGTTATTTAGTTTGTTACTTTATTTAGATTACTAACTCAAACAACTTGATAAGTTAAATGGACGAAATCACGAAATCACTAAAGTGGTGATGAAATCATTATTCAATATTAATGTACAAATAGTCAAATATACAACGGTTAGATTGAATACCCATGAGAAACAATGGTTAGACTTAGATTTCATTACTTTATTAGTTATTAGTATTATTACTTATTATTTTATTAAGTTATTAGTTTATTACATATACAGTCACAGACTCACAGATATGTATACGTATAGAGATGTCAAATATTGATATACATTAAGTCATTTTCTATGTCGTATTGAATCAATTTCAATTTTGAAACATTTGCATTTCTTACAATTTATAACTTACAAGTTCTGAAGCACACGCAATGCGTGCACGATTTTCAAGGTGTTACAATTTATAACTTACAAACCCATTATGAGCTATTACTCTTATCAGCCGTTTTACTTGCACAATTACACTTCTCTCTCTAAAATTTCACCTCCCCTCCTTCCAATTCTACTTCCCGCCAAACCAAATCCTTTGAATTTCCTTTTAAACCACTTTACCGCCAATAACTAGCCCCCAAATCCGTAATCCGTGTGCCCAACTCCAAATCTAACTAAAACCGTCGATTATACCCCCAAATCAACGCTCCACATCCTTTCCCTCAAAACCTCGATTTTCAAAACCACCTCCCTATAAATAACCGCTCTCTTTCTCCCTCCCAAATCACTCACATTCTCACTCCACCCTTCATCTTATCATCTATCATTTTCTGCAACCCCAAACTTTCTCTCTCTAAAACCTTCACTTTCTCTCTTAACATCAACAATGGCACGAACCAAGCAAACCACAAGAAAATCCACCGGTGGAAAGGCCCCAAGGAAGCAACTCGCCACCAAGGCAGCCCGTAAGTCAGCCCCAGCCACCGGTGGAGTGAAGAAGCCTCACCATTTCAGACCTGGAACCATTGCGCTTTGTGAGATCACGGAGTGAAGAGCACTGAGCTTCTCATCAGGAAGCTTCCATTCCAGAGGCTTGTCAGAGAAATTTCTCAGGATTTCAAGGCTGATCTTCGTTTCCAGAGCTCTGTTGTTGCCGCTCTTCAGGAGGCTGCTGAGGCGTACTTGGTTGGTCTGTTTGAGGATACTAACCTTTGTGCGATTCACGCTAAGAGGGTTACTATTATGCTTAAGGGTATTCAGCTTGCCCGAAGGATTCGTGGTGAGAGGGATTAATTGGGGGTTTTGATTGAATTTGAATTTCTAGGGTTAGTGTTTTGTGATAATGGTAATAATAGTTTGATGATGTTTCAGTTGATAAATCTGAAATCTAATCTGGGTAGTAGTGATAGTAGTTTCATTATGTATTGGTATATGTATTGTGAATTTTAATCAATGAAAATGGTGACTTTTTTTAATTGCTTGTTGATATTACTCTAATTTTAATGCTATTTATCTGCTGGATTTGTGGTAGTGTTATGAAATAATTGTGGCTAAAGAATGGTTTAATTTGTATATTATGGAATAATGTTTTAATTGTTTGTTTTCTTCCTGTATTTGGGATTGATTGAAATTGGGCTTATTTGAGGTTTGGTTAAAACTTGGTCATGATAATATTGGATTTTATTGTGAATTGGTCTAATTTCTTCTTAGGCAAATGGGTCTTTCGAATTTTCAAATTATTAAGTTGTTAACAATCGAATGATATTGTAACTTGGTCAAATTTAAAATTGAATGGTGTGGTATAAATGTGAATTGTGATTGACTGATTGGAAATTGTAACTCCATAGTATTGATAGTCTAGGAGATTTGTAATTGTACTTTTGAGAATTTGATTCAACCCGAAACATGAGCATTGAAGAGAGATTAAAGTACAATGATTCTGAGGAAGAGGAAGATGATAATGTGCTAGACGCCTAGACTACATATGTTCAGTTACCATATCAAATTCTACACTAAGCTCAGAAATAACCAGACGATTACAAGAGCTATTTGATATAAACCGTTGTATAAACCTAAGTTGTTTAATTAGATCTACATTTAGTAATGTTTATTGCATTTATTTTAAAATTTATATTTATTGTTACCTTTGTTAAATTAAAGTATATATATAAATATATAATAATACTAGTATGTTACATTTGATATTAATTAAAATAAATAAGTAATCTAAAACGATATTAATAATGCCGTTGGACTAGATCTAGGTGATATAAACCTTTGTATAAACCTAAGCCGTTTGATTAGATCTACATTTATTAACATTAATTGTATTTACTATTTAACCATTCAGGTTGTAAATAATTCAATTTGAATTAAGCAATTTGTAATCGGATCAGTTTAAACAGGTTGCGATTCGAAAACAGTTCGATTTTAACGGTTTAACGGGTTATGACAGTTCAGTTTAGACGGTTAGCGGATTATAACGGTTCGGTTTATACAGTTTCTCCTGCGGTTTAAACGGTTTCGGTTCATAAACGGGTCGGTTTAAACGGTTAGCGGGTTACAAATGGTTCGGTTTAAACGGTTTTTTTACGGTTTAAACGGTTTCGGTTTATAAACAGTTCGGGTCATTAACGGGTTTATAAACCATTCGGTTCGGTTTCGTTTCGGTTCGGATTTGAGCAGTTTGGTTTGTTATCGGTTTACGGTCCGTAACGGGTTGACATTGAGCGGTTCGATTCGGTTTCGGTTTGATATTGAACGGTTCAGTTCGGTTTTCGATTTAAATTTATCGGTTTATAAATGGATCGGTCCGTGATGGTTCGGTTCAGTAACGGGCGGTTTCACGGTTCGGTTAGAAAAGTCCCACCCCTAACTATTAGCCTATCATCATTCAAATGAAATATTATGAACTTTTTACAGTATTTTATTTTAGAAAAATTAACAAAAATAATCCAAACTATTAATGTCTTTCTCAAATTAATTTCAACTATCATTTAATCTAAAATAATCCCAACTATTAGGTGCCCTTCTTAAAATAGTCTCTCTTACCGGGTATCTATGATATCGATTAACATTTTTAGTCCTCCTCCTCTTCTGTACATTTCACCCTTTCTTTCTCCCTCCACC